GATCACCAGTCTGACAATTTCACGGCGATTCAGCTGCTGTGTGTTTGCCCTCCACGCAAATCTAGATGGGCACTTAATTCCGTGTGGCGAACTCTGCTAGTCAATACGTGGATTCTCTTCGAGCAACGATCCATTTCAGTGAACCTCGACGACATTGCCAAGGGACCCGTGGTGGCGTTTGCTGATTTCTTTACTTTGACAAAACCCAGTATAATCCAATCGACCTCCCGTTGCGTATTTTGAAGTTGACTCGTTTCTTATAATGAAGTGCAACGTACGTCGATGACAGGGGCAAGCGTATGGTTCACCCTGTTTTCGGAAACAGAAAAGCCTTTTCTGCCCGTTTAGGCAAGAGAAAAGCGGTTCGAAAGAGAAACAATTGTTAGATAATACTATAGCGATATGCTCGATATAACTTTATTTATACGGCTGATATATAATCTACTATGGGTGGTTACGGGACAACGATGTAGCGCCACGCTCGGTCGGTCGGTCGGTCGGCCGGCAGCAACAATCGTTATATAAGCTCGAGCATATTTTCACAGAATCATATACGAAAAGTCGATTGTTCGATTGATCAGTTAAAATAAATAGATATCAATTATACTTTGGTCTCTTTATATGTATGTATAGGCAAATGGAATAAAAACATACTCTATCGAGATAGTGACCATTGTTGAATTGACCCGTTATGCTATAATTCAGCTTTTAGCCGAAGTAAAGTAATAAAACGCAATTAAAAATTCTACCCGGTTATATTTATCAATTTGGCTATCACTTATTTATTTATTTATTTATTTATTTATAACAATATAAGTATTATAGCATTGGGAATCAGCGTGTGTCGTTGCGATTGTCACTATGTCTAAATTTTTTTAAATTTCTGGAACCGCACACACTGCCGGGACAGATAGCGGACGACTTTCATACGGTACATATCTACGTTGGCATAACCCCACAGAATGTTTCTATTAAATCTCTAGATGTGATCTGGATAGAATCTGCGTGATTTTTTAACCGAATGCGAAAATTGTAGAGAGCTGTATTCTGGTCTGAGCACCCCGTGGACAGTCCGTTGTCACCTGAACAGTTACACAACTTCATAACGTTGCATATCCTTTCAAATACCTTTCCTCGTATCTATCTCTAGAGCAGACAACTTTGTTGTTAAAGTTACTTCGAACATTCGGTATAGCGCTGCGCCAGTCAACAGAATAGGGACACTAAAAACTAGGCCAAAAACTTCATCGATAGTACAGCATTAGGGTTGAGCTTGTTATTGTCGCCTGTATCCGATCGTCGTGTCTGGCGGGATCTAGCTGAGCTCTGAAATGCTTCATTCGTCGCTAACGTACAGCTTCATCCTGGATATCGCCGAGCATCAGGTAGGTGCGGAACTTATATAGCCAATGAGGCTCCTCGTATTCCGCTGTAGAGGGAGCAACTTGGTCGGTGTGGATTAACATTGAGAAGCATACATCAGGGGCGTGTTGGATGATTGGCCATTGGCGTGAGGGGCACTTGAAGCGGTAAAGCATTGGCCAGATCTGAGATTGGGGAGTGGACGAGTTTTCAGCCCTGTTCGCTAGTCAATTAAGAGCGAAAATAAAGAGTGACATAGGTTCGTAATCACGCATTGCTTGTTCCTGTCACTTCTGATCAGGGCTGATGGATATGGCTAGCAATTAATCAATTATAGAAGGCAAACCATCATCTCACGCTGTTTAACGTTAAAATTAACCATATCGTTCGTACAGAAACAGGCACGCTGCTTACTATGATTCGAAAGCGCGTTTGACACAGATATTATCGTTGGCAAACGAGAAGCTCCCTGTTCCGTAGGATTGGTACAAGTTCTATACACATAAAATTAAACTTACCCAATATTAACGAAGGAGATAATTATAATAACAACAATAACAATAATAAAGTAATTAACGTATCAAATCGCACTCGCCATAGACGTTCAATTCTTTCTAGCTCCTGCATTATAATGTACCTGATCGCGTTTCGTCATAGGTGTCTGCTAAGTCAGAATTGGTTCTCAAGATATACCTTCACTCCGAGGTCACTCCGGTGTCCACAAACCCTTATAGCGTATCTATAGCAGTGTAGCACACGCGACGCGTTTCGCTTCCAGAATTTTATCCACCTTTAAGCCTCTGCTACACAGTACGTACTCGTCATCGAGCTACAATCGAGCGTTATCGTTGATGGAACGGTTCGACGTCTTTCACCTTCTGTCCCGCCGTCGTCACCTCTTTCGTATGGATATTCTAAATTAGGTGTTGTTGTTGATGTTACCGCTGCTCGAACAGGCGGTGCTGTCGTCGTGGTAGTTGTTGAAGTCTGCTGGATGCCGGCTTGGCACAGTGCCGCTTCATGAAACGCGCTAGCGTATCGTATCATATGAGTATGGCCTTCTTCGTTGTTCTTAGACTGTTTCAATGGACAACGTACAAACAACCAATGCGTAGTAACAATCGCAGCCATCAAAGCAAAGTAATAAACAAAATACGGAGAGGAACTGCCAGAAGATAACAGAGAGACACAAAACACAAAAATTACAAAGACCACCCAGCGGTGAAAAATGACCCTTCCGTTATTTTCTTATGCCCAGATAACTACTACGAGCCCCACTCGTATATATATATATATAGACATGATAAGGTAGTAAAGTTTCTTGAATAATGGTAAGTACGTACAGGTGCGTATGAGGGATTGATTCGCTGGACAAAATTAATTGTTGTGTATGAGTGCGCACGTTATGGCTAAGACTTACCGCTTTGGGCTGGTTTTATCGATAAGAACTTTTTGTTTAGCTTTACCAAGGCTAGATTTTGGTTGTCTGTATTGTTGAAATCAAACATCGTATTAAAAGTTGTTTCTGGCGTTCGTTTCGTTGATCCCATTGCTATCGGCCTTTATAATATTAGTAGTTATTGTACTAGATTGTACGCGCTACCTCCGGGCTGTTCTCTTGTCTCCCGTTCAACCCGGGCCGTAGCTGTCCACTATAGAGCTCTCAGTCTGATTTGCGAATCGCCTCTGTTCGAGCTCAGTGGGGTTGCTCTGATTGACGATTCCGTAGCAGATTGAAACGATTAGTACCGTTATGAGTATGTAGAATGCATACCAAAACGCCAGTAGCCCCCTTCGGGCGTAGACGTCTTGCGCGACTACCGCGATTTAGGAAGCAACCTTATTTTTGATTCAACAGGTACACAATCGATTTATGCAACAGCCTTATAAAATCTTGATATTATTATGATGGGAAAGAGTTAATTATGACGTCCACGGAGAAAAACAATGACGACGACGACGACACCAAATCGCGTATTCCTATATAATTTAGCCGCGTTTTTGCATTGAAGCTAACTTAGTTGGCAAGTAACACGTCGTGTTATAGAACTGGCTCATCAATAATCGTATAAATACATTTTTTTCTTTGTTTTCAGTTACGTCAAGCTAGAGGCAATTGTCTACCGAGTCACGAATATCAGAGATCGCGTAGCGGTTACATGGCCAACAACCACTTACGCCAGACTGAGTTTTATATCGCGCGCTGCCAAATATTTAATATTTTTCAGGGTGGATTGCTCGTACGACTGAGTTAATTAGAATTTTCCCCCAAAAGTTTTTGTTTTTTGTTCTTCGGATACTTCCTTACGGTTTAAACCGACTGGGTTAAATAACGAGGGGTCTACCAGTCGATAGCTACGCAGATCAGGACGTATAATTTCAAATCTACTGTTTTCGAAATTATCTTTCAGGTAAATGGCGCGCTTTCAAACATCAGATGTCATCAGGCGCATTAAACTTAGTTTCGCGTGTCGTTCAGCCATTGGCAATGTTGTCCATTCATTGATACCAAACAGATCCGCGTGTTCGGCTGATTGTATGATAGTGTACGCGTACGCCATGTGTTTATAGACAATATAATGAAAATGAGTCTGCTGAATCGTCGGTCCAATCGGAAGTATCAGACACCCCTCCTCCCCCCCCCCTCCCCTGCCCGGCCGACGGGCCAGCGAAGTCGCGTTCGCTGATATACAACAAGAAAACGAGCTACGCTATAAAACTGTCGAATCGTCGACAACTCATTTCGATGTAGTCGTGATCGTGGCTACCTGTATCTATATTATACAAAGGAACATAATAGAGGATGAGTTGGTGTAAATCGGAGAAGACCAGCTTAATAACAACGGTAATAGTTTCTGATAATTGGTGCAAAAGTCGCTACATCATCGGCAGCGTCATCAACTGCTACGCGATACGTTTATTCTGATGATTACCAAATGGACCCAGCACCCCACTCAGCCATGATCTTCGCCTTTATTTCGTTTCTTTTTTTGCCGTTATTGAATGAAGCCAATTACAACCGTATCATCCAACACTAAATTGTCGCTAGGAATAATAACGAAAAAAACAAATCGAAGAAGTAATTGTTTTCGTGACGACGGCTGTTGTTTGTCAACTTATGATGAATTGCGGGAGTCAAAATCGGCGGAACTGTTGAACCTTCATCGAGGCGAGGGACGATAGAAACAACGAGGTCGAGGGTTTTAAACGAAGCAGATAAAGGTAGCAGATTTTTTATTATATATTGCTTATTAATAATTTTTGTTGTATCTTGATTTGGAAATATGAAGATCAAGGTGAAAGGATGGTATTCAAGTCCTTTGTGTTTGTCATGATCTGGATTGTCGAAAGTTATAGATAACTTTTTTTTTTTTTTTTTGCATCCGGTGTACAGCTGTCGAACTTTGTGCTTTGAGATTATCGTGAATTCTATCGTGAGTTATTTTGTCGGATTTTTTCATCCGAGGCCTCCAATTCACTGATTAGTTAAATGTCACAAAAAAAAAAAACGACTTTTAGCATATATTCTGTGTATACTGGCGTAAAACGTCGACAAACTTTTTGCGTGCTTTTGAAAATGGCACAAGCATACCTTCTAAATACAACTGACGATCGTTATCGACAAAACGTCCACTTACATCTTGGAAATCGGCCATATTGCTTGGCCTGCCCTGATGATAGTGTGTCATTCCGTGAGGGGCTGGGTGTCCTCCAGGATGCGCGAAGTATCCACTGTGAGATCCGAGAGTGCCCAAAGAAGCCATGGGCGGAGGTGGTGGCCCTGCGTCTTTAGGATAGCCTTCCACTAGTGAAGCACTCATCTTCACCGTCTATGCCCTTTTTTCGGTCACCGTGCCTTCAGCGGTGACTCAAATTTTATTAATAGTCGCTAATTGCCAACTGTGTGTTCCAACTTCACTTTATGTTCTGGTTTCCACTAAGCTTTCGTTCTCCCCAACCGCAACTAACCCACACTCGTTTGATACCCCGGAGACCATTTAGCTAATTAAGCGATTCAATCCTGTTCGCACAATTCGTTCTATTCATCGATGATAATATAATGATGGCTGCTAAACAGACACGGGTAAATACGTTCGTGTTGCAGTGTCTGGGCTTTACGTGTAGGCTTTCGTCAGTAAGGCCAATCTACTTTGACCTATGAAGAACGCTGAGCCGTCGTCATAACGAGCACTTTATTTCACGCTGGCCTTCATCGTACAACTAATTTTTCTCAGCGCGACCAAATAAACTAAAATTTGCCTTTGTGTTATCATTGATTTACAAACGCGTCACGACAGTTGACAAGATCACACAAAACGCACTTTACTCTAGAGAATATCTGGCACCTTTCGGACGAGATGACTTCAATTGATTTCTACATATTTGATAACTTTAAAGACGCACTTTAAAAACGACACGGAGAGGATCTTCCTTCCAGACTCGTTCCTACTTCACCCAGCTGATTATTTACACAAACATGAAAACTCTACTAACTTCACGTGATCCGATTCTTTCTGCATTTAGAAGCTCAGTTTCATTGCACTTTGTGGACTGCACCCTTTTCCGTTCCAGGACACTCGACGTAATTCCGTAACTGTGTTCCACAGGTCTTGATCAATTCCATCAAATATTGCATTAAATCGATTGCACCAATCCAGACGGCTGGACACCAGCAGCGCCAGATCGACCCACGGCCGATCCCTACCGAATGCGCCGAGTCGCCCCAGTGGAGCAGTTCGACGTACACGCAATACACACGGGGCCCCTGCTCGACGCTCGCCTGCTAGCAACTGACGCGCGAGCTGTTTCAATAATTCTCAGCCGCTTCATCTGCTGCCACTGTCCCTACAGCAGCTGCAGCTGCCCTCGCGTCAGGCGGATCGCCGCCGCCACTACGATAGTCGCTATCCCCGGAGCGATCCTGCGGCGCAGGGAATAACCAGCAAAAAGCTGCGGCTGCAACGGCAGCCACAGTAGATCAATGTCGACGGCGAAGCCAACCGCTTCGAAGATACTTTAGCTATGCCTCAGCTTAACGACGTGCTCGTAGAACGGACCCGCCAGCGTTAGCTGCAAGCAACTTTCGGGAGACGCGCGCCCGGATACCAGAACCGCGAAACAGGGCTCGCCACAGGTGGGGAGGAGCTAACACGATGGGAGGCGGGGCCTGCTTCACCTGCCGCAGCCAGGCCGCTGGCGGCAGAAACGCCACTGGTGTTTAGCAAGTGGATGGACACTGGTCATCCGACGAAGTATACGCCGCCGCTGTTCGATGCCAAATCAGTATGAAGTATCTGTGTGTACGTGTATTTTCTCATATAGGCATCATGCGTGCGATGACCACTTAAAAAGCTAAATAATAAAGAAAGGGTAAAATCGAACTAAGGGACAAACGTACAGGGTAACGTGAATCGGCTCCTATTGAACAATGTGGAGTGTTATTAGGTAAGTGCAGAAAGGCACTGGCCAACGGCAGGGGAATCTTAATAGCGACGTTGATCAGCCGATCGGAGGGCGTTGCTTGATTTGTTGGAAGGATTCAATTTAAGCACGATCATTTGCATACATATGTACAATTGAGAAATGGCCATAGGACAATACATTTCTTGTGCGTCTGTTACCTCCTTGTATAAGCGCGAATATTTGACTGGTTGTGCTTGATAAATATCAATTGTGAGAAGTTGTAACGTGGTCATCGGCAAGAATCTACGAGCGCCCACGAAAACGATAGATCGAAGTGACATCTTTCCCATATTAGATACACTCATGTAGCATAGCATTTCAGCTACGAAAACGCATATTATGGCGTATCTGTCATTTGCGGTCGAGTCCATATATGCATATACATATGTGTAACGTAAAGTTGTATATGTTCATCTCGTGTCATAGAAGTCATAAAATTCTCTATTGAGCTAGCTGCAGGTTGGTAGGTTCAGGCCTAGCACACCGTGAATTTTTTTTCGGGCATCGCGTACAAGTGCGATAACTCACTCAGCAACGTTAATTCCACTAAGATTGTCGCGTTCTCCAGACTCACAATAACTATGAGGGGTACAGGGTGATTTATGTATTTGGTTTAGGCTTCAGGATAGCTTTTACAAATCGTCTTCGCTTGTCTAGATCGACCATTTGGCAATCGATAGGCAAAAGGTATTTGTCTGAGTGGTAGCACCCAGAAGACCATTTAGCGTTTCTATGCGCCCTGTTCAAACCTTTATGTTGTATCTATGTGTAGGCTTCTTTCACACTGATTTGGTAGACAGACCCCTGGGGTGATCGTGACGAACCCGTCGCAAAAGGACGGAACGCAGCGAGGACGCTTGCCTCTATGATCTCTTTGGCTCAATATTAAATCCGTTTCATGACCAGTTAGCTGATATCAAAGGTAAAAATCACGTGAGAGTGCTTCGATGAATGAAGCATGGGATCGCAGGCGCGCAATATGTCAGGTATCGCTTTGGGCATTTACTTGAGTATTTTTCGTTTATCAGAATCGTCCCTTTGGTGAGAAATTCGTTTTGACAATCGAGGGGAAATCTGCGGCTATTCGCAACTGGTCGTACAATGAGGTGAGCAGTATAAACGATGGTACGAAAATCTAGTATAATATGACGGGTTTTTAGAGTAACTTCTTGATTGTTAGCGAAACTGCAGTTACCGTCGAAATATATATAATTTTCCATTGTAACTATTAAATATCCGCCTGACAAATATATATATTCAACTGTCGCCCAAGTTCACTCATGCAATGTGCCTATTCCAGTTTAATACATTTCCTGATTACTGTGTCTTTGGCTGAATAAATCTATTCTCTACATAGTGATGGTTCTAGTTGGCTTACGGGTCGCTCAAAAAAAAGCATATACTCATTTACAGGTACCCAGACACGCGAAACGTGCGAACGTCGCGCGAGGAGCCGCGCATCAAGGCGTCGAAATAAGCCGTAAACGACGCCGGAGCCATTTGCGGTTCTATTATATAGTCGCTGTTTACGACTTGTAGTTGTTCTTTTTCCGTCTGCAATGACTGGTCTGTCTTTTCCTTCATTTTTTATTGACTAAAACATGTCTCTTTATATAATTTTGTTCTTTGCTTTCTTAAATTCCGGCAAACGATCGGAGCTTCAGCGACAATCAAGATGACTGTCGACCGAAATTTCGCGGATTTCTAAGCACCGCTATTCGCTTTTGCTTGCCGTAGCAACAATAACGACAGCGGCGGCGGCAGCAGCAACACGGCAATTTTTTGTTGCGTTTGTCTTTTTTACTTTGACCGTATTTGCAATAACATCAAGCTAGTCATTGTTTCCTGTTCGGAACACATGTCATGCACCCGAACGAAGCATCATGTCTCCAGCATCAATTCCAGGCAGCCTCAGACCCGGTTTTTGCTACCCACCCCCTTTTGGTACCGAACAATAACTCGAGCTGGTGGCGGTTCGAGTCGGCAATCTTACTCATTAACGATTTCGTACGGTCGCTTGAATACGCATATATGCTATCGGCACATCGACTTTTCAAGCTATTCGAGGGAAAATTATGCGGTCAAAAGCACGATCCATTTCGAAATGGTTATGGCCGTCTTGTGTTTCAGTAACCGGAGCAAAAGTCTGGCGTTGCCTTATATCGCTCGACACGCAACTGACCGGGGGTTTAATTCAACAGTTCGAAACAGGTCTAAATGGTACCACATACACCTTGCACAACCAGCAAGCAGAACTTATTCGCAAAGACATCAATGGAAATACGTTCTTTCATAGGATGACCCGACAGCGAACGAGCTTAACACATAGATAAGGTCAAACACATCGCTTGCTTTTAGGACTATCTGGCCAGAAAGGAACACAAAAGGTCAGGGCGGAAGCGTCCTTACTGGCGCGCCTGGTACAGCAGCGTTACAAGTAATAGGAGCGCAACCATGTCGAATGTTACAACGCAGACAAAGTCTCCTACATTACGCGTAATCATATATATGATTCAGATCAGATTTTTAGAACAAGTGGCCTTTTTTTATCAGAATCGATCCACGTGATCAGTCAGGTAACGACAGAGAATTCGAAAGCTACGAGTTCAGAACTTCAACGCCGCTTACCAAGCTGAGCGCTGGCTTTCTGTTTTAAGAGGATACTGTTTGAACGTCGTATTATTGGTACCGCCGAAATCCGCTTGACGATACGCACGAACTCGGAACGCTCTTGGTTTAGCCTTGGAAAGCAGAAGATAATAGACCATTGCAGGATAAGGGGTAGTAGAAAAAGAGCTTCTCAAATTCGTCTTTTGTATAAGGCCTATTTGATCGGCGGCTACTAATCGTACCATAATGCTAGTGTCATAATATCATTACTGGAACGTCCCCTGACAAATGTCAAAGTCAGCAACAACTCGTGATGCTAAACAAGATGGCTCAGAGAATCACTGTCGATTCTTTGCCGTGTGAGTAATAGGTAACGACGATAGAAACCGCTGACGTGCAGATTAATTTCATTGTATTGTAGTGCACCTTGTGCCTAGCCTGAGTAAGAGTCCAGTACGTCATCGTTAGTACTGCGGAGTCAACATCACGGTTAGTATAATAGTATGTGGTCTTTACTTGGACCATTTACATAAAACGGATCTTTGGATATAGCTATTGCATCAAGAGATTAGCGCTCGTTGGGGTGCCTTTCGCGCGCATGAAGCCAAACGTTCGTAAACGAATTTGGTACTCATTTGTTTTGTCCGATTTGTAATAATATTCAGTCGTTGCTTCTCGTTGTGACCCGTCACAATATTTACGCTTGGGCAGATCTTACGAAAACCTGAAAAAAATTGTTAGATCGACCCAACATCACCGAATCGAGCCCAAAAAATCTCTCGGAAAATAAAATGCGCAAGATACGATAGCACAGGTAAATAAAGCTGAGAAAGATCCATTTCGGTTGTTTCGCAAATGCTTTCTATTATCTACAATCAAAAATCGTTTCCGATTACTTTAAATCGAGTGCCATTCTGGAGAGATTTTTCTTTATTTTTGTTCAACGAATACACACGATATCGTGGCAATGTTTAGGATAAAAACTTATATTCCAGACCAGCTTCAAACATTATCATAATAATCGAATGACACAGTCGCTTTCGGTTGCCAACAAATTTAGCCGGTTACTCTGCGCGTCTTACGTCCACCTTCAGACTCAAGTCATTTTCGAAATGAAAAAAAAAAGAAGACGAATGGCCATGGACGAGAACGAGAGTAAAACACCGAAAACATTAAATACATTTATTTACGTTAAGTATTTAACCAGTGAACATAAGGCGAATGTCAGAAATTTAAAAAAATCTATCTATCTATCTATCTATCTATCTATCTATCTATCTATCTCTCTATCTATCTATCTCTATATCTCTATCTATCTATCTATCTATCTATCTATCTATCTATCTATCTATCTATCTATCTATCTATCTATCTATCTATCTATCTATCTATCTATCTATCTATCTATCTATCTATCTATCTATCTATCTATCTATCTATCTATCTATCTATCTATCTATCTATCTATCTATCTATCTATCTATCTATCTATCTATCTATCTATCTATCTATCTATCTATCTATCTATCTATCTATCTATCTATCTATCTATCTATCTATCTATCTATCTATCTATCTATCTATCTATCTATCTATCTATCTATCTATCTATCTATCTATCTATCTATCTATCTATCTATCTATCT